ACACACACACACACACACACACACACACACACACACACCAGCAGCAGCAGGACGTTGCTTCAGTTTACATGTATACATAACGTGTCAGGACGAGGAAATGTTGGTGTTGTGTTCAAGGACACACGAGTGATGTTTAGTTTTCTCTCTACGCAGCAGAGAGGAGACATAAATCACCTGAGTGTCCAGCAGGGACAGAATAAAATCTTTTGTCTTAATTCATCATTTCAGAAAAGTTCTCAAGGCAAGAAGGTAAATTTAGGAGAGAGAAGTAATAATTGTTGTTTTACGTTGAAACAAAAACACTTGTCTACAGTTACAGCTGCTGTACTCAGTTATCAACTAATGACATTACTGCAGCTATWTTTGACCTCATGTTTTCTCCAGAGGCTCTTGTCTTCCTATAAATGATTATCCTCATTAATGACGCCATGCCAACAAATCAGTAAATCCATCCTTTATTTGTAATTAATCCTCTGGATTTGCTCGTGTTCAGAGGATTATTATCCGTCCAGCTTCTCTCTGACAGACAGCCTCATGTGACCCGTCATTCTTTGATGCAGGAGTCATCTCTCCATCAGATGCTGAGAACGGCCTGGAGGCTGCAGAACGACCGATTTACATCCATATGGTTGCCATGACACTCCTCTCCTGAAAAGCTCTTTTTCAGCAACAAACACGTCTGCAATTATTAGAGCTGAAGGACCATCTTTGATTTGTATCATATTTGTGTGGCGAGGGGCAGGCATCCAGTTTCTTCAGGTTAGGATCATGTGACAACCCCCACCTYATCCAGTTTGTCCGCTGGGAAACATTCTGTAGCTGCACTTTTGATTTCGATGCGAGAGAAAAGAGCTGATGTGAGCAGACGTTTGTTAAATTCAGAGCCAAACAGCCTCTGCAGGCAGCTGAACATGCATGAACATCTCATACACTTTTTTTTTTTTTTTTGGTTTTCAATGACACAAGGTGAGGCAGAGAGAAATGGATGTTTCTCTTCGCCACCYGCCGCTGCTCAACATAACAAAATAAAAAAGCTCTCTGGATTTACATAATGAAGTCATCGCCTCATTTACTGTTAATATTAGATGAGGGGAGAATTAAGGAGCAGTTTGTGCTGTGAGCCAGCGTTTAAAGGTCTGCTGACTTCACTGTAAGGTCAACACTTTTCATGTTTGGTTTAATATTTTACATCAGAGGCTACAATCTAATCAAAGGACAAGTATTTCTTGAATAAAAAGCACATCACCCTGCCTTTTAGATTTACAGAGATCAGCTTAAGCTGAATCTCAGGCGAYAATGGGAAATCTTGCAAGACCTGTGCTCAGATTGTGTGATTAAAGTTACTGCCACACTGGATTTAAGCTTTTAAAGTGGTCAMATTTTATAAATTGGTTGATTATATTTTGCAGGTTATGTATAAGGCTCTTAAAAATTTATTACCTTTAAATATCCAATTAAATTTTGTTAAGAGTAAGTAATTACAATCTTAAGGGACTAGAGATGCTTGTAAAGCCTAAAATTTGAACAAATTTAAAGGTACTTCAGTCCAAAGAATAAGATTGTGGAATAATCTGGAAAGTGAATATAAAAATGTTGGCTCAATAAATTTAAGAGAATAATAAAAGTTAAATTGTTGAAGAAATGTGAATTTGTATAACGTGCATTCATAAGAACTATTGTTCGAAGAGTGGAAGTTTTTATGTTTTATTTGAAGATTATTATTGTTTGAATTTTTTTTTTGGAAAAAAGGGGCAGATGTTAAATTTTTTTTTCTTCTTTCTGCTACCTTTCATTTAATTTGTGATTTGTATTATTTGTTGTATGTATAGCATTTGTTTTGTTTTTAAATGAAAATGAACAAATTTACTAATCTAAGCTCATTATCAGTCAAATTGGCTAAGTTAGCTGCAGACTGACCTCTTCTGTCCTACAGAGAAGGAGACAACTAAGCAGCACCGGCAGCAGGAGGAGGAGTTGATCCTGAAGATCCATAAACTGGTGCAGAAAAGGGATTTCCTGGTCGACGACGCCGAGGTGGAGAGATTAAGGTGCAGCCTTCGCATTGAGCACAGTTAATATCCGGGACTTTGTGTCCCAGATGACTGTTTACAGGCACTCTGCTTTATTCAGCTAAAMTTATTTTTAAATAAAAACAGGATTAAAGTGGAAAAAAACGACCGACGTAGCAAAGAAAAACAAACCTGACAACTGATAACAATAAACTTTGCAGTTTTGAGTTACTTCTGCAGTAAAGCAAAGTATCACGATCCACAGGAGGAATTATCATAAATAAATTTACAGCCGATTAGTTTTTAGTTCGATGGCCGCTGCACCCAATCCATCTTAGCAAACACCAAAAAACAAACAAACAAACAAACAAAAAATGGACTGTGCTGTTGTGGGCCACTGATCTAATCAGATAATAGTTGACATTCATCTGAAACGTGTTTGTGTTGGGCCTCAGGGAACAAGAGGAGGACAAGGAGATGGCCGAGTTCCTCAGGCTGAAGCTGAAGCCCCTGGAACAGAAGCTTAAAGCTTCACAAAGTGAGTTCAAATTTACTCCCAACATCCATTAGACCCAMCCTCAACCTATGCTAATGAGTTCCMCCTCTCCGTTTCTTTTTTGATAAAAAGATCCTCCAAAACCCAGGAGACAGATCCAGGAGCTTCCTCCAAACAAACCCTCCATCACCAAGTCAGGAGTGGCCATCATTAAAGACTGCTGCGGAGCCACCCAGTGTGTTGTAATGTAACTGAAACTGACCCTCTCTGTGTCGCAACACTCCAGTCACATGACACAACCACTTCCTGTTACTCAGAGAACCACAGATAGCTGCGTCTGCCCTCGAACCTGCTCATAAATCAGATTTATTCTTCACCCGTAGGCGTTTTTGGGAGCTGATCCCAGATCAGGGGATTTTACGGTGAGGAGTGTCTGTTAGTGAGATTTATCAGGACTGATGAACCAAACACAGCAAAGGCCTCAGACAGAAGTGTAAATAACATCTGACAACTAGGTGTTGATTTATTTTTCATTCCTTCATGCTGYATTCATTTAAAAACACAATTTAGGGTTCATTTTTCATAAATGTAGTCAGTATCTTACCTGCAGATGACAGCTCTGAGGGAAATACTCATGAAGGAATAAAGCTAACAAACATCAGTTTTATGATAAAGACGAGTTGAAGTTGACAGCGCAAATACTGAGGACTAGTTTATGAACAACAGTCTGAAAGCCTAATGTGACACAGAAAATACTCAATAAAACAAGGTGATGTAACTTAATCGAACAAACAAACAGCTGCTTAAAGTGATGCATTCCTGAATAAGTCACTTCCTCCAACTAATAAGGACTTTTGGATTTAGTCGTTTTGAATGTCAAGATATTTGTCAGAATAATTCCTAATCCCCCCACCCTTTTCTCCAAATTCTAAACAATTTTTTTGTCCATCTGCTGCAGGTATGACACTGACTACAAGTACTCAAAACAACCCACCCAAAAATGTTCTTTGATGAAGATGATGTGTCTGATTGTACAAATAGGCCTAAAAGCACAATGTCCACAAGGGAAATCTGAGGTGGGGTAAGAAACAGTCAACTGAACAAAACTTCCCAATAAATTGCTAAATATTGATGTGTAAGTTACCAGTCTGTAGACTGAATCTTTCTGTGTTTTGAACCAATATTCTTAATTATAATATTTAATGCAGAAATAAAATGTGGGCTAAGCTTTCAGATACTTTTGTCGTGCTTTAAGTAATGAGTGCCACAGTTCAACACCTATATACACCTACATAAGATCTGTCATCTTTATGCAACATCATCTCAAACAATCATCAGCTACCTGGAAAAACAGACTGACAGTATGGCATCATTGTTATTGTGGGTATTAACACTGCAAACAACGCACATCCTCTGATTTTAAAGTTTTTATGCCAAACACGAGGAGAGCAATGCAACTTTTGTACAGGCCTCCGGTAGATGGCGTACGCTCGAGTGTATGTAGGACATTAGTGACTTGCATCAAAGCAATGTGTCGTTCCTTGTCACCTCTGAAAATGTTTGTAGTTGTAGTGAATTTATGAAGGTCCTGATATGCAGAGAACAAGCGAAGCTTCTTGTACATACATGTTTAAATAAAGAGCATCTTTCAAGAACGCAGCGAGGCGTCCCCTTTTTCTTTTAAAGTATTCACACAAAAAACAGAAACGATGCTTGTGAAATTTATTATTTGTTTCAATGTTTCCTACATCCACTCCTGGTGCAGGAAGGAAGGAAAGCAGGTGAAGATGGTTGTTGAGCAGGTGAACAAAAAGCCACAACTTTAAGGGAAAACTCAACAAAGTTCCTTAAACTCTGCTGCAGAACTGAAGGAGACAAACACTTTGTTGCACTTCATGAACTAAAAACTATGCATCAGTGCATATTTCAACAGATACAGAAGCTTCTCACTGATCTAACCAACATGAGAACTCAGTAAGGGGAGTTAGTTGCCACTGTAGCTCTGAGAACTTTGGTTGAAATCACAAAAACATAACGCCTTCACGTGGCCGAATTTAAATCAGTTTAATTATTAAGTGGTTTCCTGACAGTGGATAAAACACCCGTTCATAAAAACCTTTCTGCGGGATGGCCGGTGGAACCTGTTCACACCAAATCCAGTCTGACAAACTCACCTCAGAATACTGAATACTTCAAAACAGACTAAATCTTCAAGGAAATGCAAATGTAACCGATTAAATGRGCTGCTGCCCATTCTCTAAATGCTTTTTATCGAAACACAAACAGAAGCCTTCGACGTCTGCGACACCCGAGACGTGTCTGACTTCACAAGCAGCAGATATCTGATGGCGTTTCAGCAGCTGATTTAACACAGAACACTGACGCTAACGCACATCTCTAAGTTTAAAAACAAAATAACTAATCCACGTGAGAGGGTACGGAGGAAAGACAGCCCTTTGTTTCAGCACCGGGGCAAATACAAGCCATTGTAAAAGCCCGGCAGGTTCCAGGGAGCTGCAGAGGGGCCCCGTGTGCATCAATCCCTGCAAGAGGCTTCCCCAAACCTCCTGGTTGGTCCTCAGACCCATCCCCCTCCAGTCTGAAACTCTGATAAAAAAAAAAAAAACAGACCCTCAGGAGCTGCCCCTCCTCAAACTGTTAAGTTCATTTGATAATAAAAATGGAATAGCCTCTGGTCTAGGAAAATCTTCAAACTGTTCTGGAAGCTAACCATTTAATGAAGACGTCGGACTATTAACACCTGTTTCTACTCATTTAGCAATAAATTTAGGCCAAACCTGTACTGAATCCTTATAGAAGGAACTAAAAATATYATTTTTTTTCTTCATCACAGAGACGACACAGACCTTGTTCTAGTTTAAAATCGGAAAGAATCAAACAAGCAGGAGATTATCAGCTGGATCGCTCATCACGTCTGTAATAAATAACCAAGAAAAAGCTCTTAAAAAGGTTCAAATTATGTTCTAAATGAAAGCTTCTGTGTTTGAGGTGAGGGCAAYTTGGATGGTTTCGTTCACTGACAGAAATCTGCTCTGTCAGTTGTACAAACTGAAACTTCTCCGCACAGTGACAACTAACTCGGACTCAACCTTCAACACGACGGCGGCTCGAAACTGAGGGCGCATTCTTAAAAAACTGATCTRAGTGGACACAATTTGTTAAACAAAGGCTGCAGAAAATCTGCAAGAAGTAGATCACAGCTTTGTGAGCATCAGTGGAGTATTTTAAACTAAGAAAAAAAAAAGAATAGAAATGAAACACAAATGTCACCTGAGGGGTTATTTCTGTGTGCAGTGGCTGTTTAACTCTTTGATTCAGAGTTGCTGGATGAGTGTAAGTGTGTGTGTGTGTGTTAGAGGGATCAGAGGCCTGCTGTGAAGGAGAAGTTAGCAGCTAGTTTGATTTTGCTGCGGCTGGATCTCCTGCCGGGGCTGCTCACGGACAAAAGGCTCTTTGTGTCGGAGGGTGGAGGAGTCCCAGAGCCGTCTGTGGTACTGGGCCGCTCGGGTTGATCGGAGGAGTCGTCTACAGATTCACTCTCTAATACCACACACACACACACACACACACACACACACACACACACACACACACACACACACGTAGATTAGCTTCAACATTAAAGTACCAAAACATGCATCGAAACGATTCAAAACCCAGCACTGAAGCCGACCTGCAGGTAGATCCGGTGGAGGAGTTCTTTCGAAGTTGATCAGGTCCATCTGCTGAAGGATGACAGGGTCCGGGTGGAGCTGAGGTGATGGGAGGCAGGACGGTACAGGACCGCACAGCAGGTCCAAACATGGAGGTAAAAACAGCAGCTCGGATTCTGCAGCCGCATCACCACCTAGTAGGTGAAAAAATAAATAAAATGTGCACAGACGTCCCAAAACAGCATCTCACATTCTGACAAATTTGAAGCTCATTGTGTAATTTTTTGTTTTAGAATGTGTAAACTGTGTCAAAATGAAGTTAAAATATGTCAGGAAATCACAAGAACAGAACAGAGGAGATCTTTCACACYGATATTAGTGCTTGCTGAATTTAAACGCACATTTGATGTGTTTCAACATACATGAAGGASCTGTTTGCATTTTATGGATAACTGTATTGTTTTACAGGTTGAAATTGGTGCAAATTGTTGAACAATAATTCTGACGGCTTTAGGAAGTCAAATTGTACTAAATCCTTCTGAGACTTGATCACCTGGACTCTGTGTTCCAGGTGTGCTGCTGATGGGACTGTCTYGTGGACTTTCAGCATCGTCTCCTGCTCGGGGGCTGCTGGGGACTGAAGACGCTGTCTTTGCTAAAACACACAAACGAACTATAACTTGAGCATTATTAGTTTTTAGGACACATCTGGAGAAAAGACAAGCCTATCTTTTACAGAAATAACTGAGCGTGGAGTAAATCAATAATCAGACTCTTACCTTTCATATCGTTCTTCAGAACAATAATCCTTTTATGACCGTGTCCTTTGATCCAGACCACCTARTAAAATAAGTCAAGTTGAGGAAATTAATTTCTATCATCCAGAAATAAAAATAGAGGTAAATAAAATAAATTTGCTGAACCTGTGGAATGGCACTGAGCAGCTCGTCAGTGCTGATGTATCCGTAAGAGCGCGGTTCAAGGCTGCAGCCGGTGAATTTGCTGTAAGCCCCCTGGAACTCCGTCAGGAAGATCTGGTTGTAGTGGTAGGTGTGGAGCAGAGCGCGGATGTTACGGGCAAACCGGTAAAGCCTGGTTAGCCTCACCCATTCAGTCCCGGGACCACTGGCAGCATCATCACGCTCCTCACGGTACAGCTGAGAAAGAAGAAAAAGAAAATAATATGAAACATTAAAGAGAAAAATAAATTCTTACTTTCTTCAGAGACAAATGTTTTTCTAACCTCCACGAGGAAAGGAAGGCTCTTGAGCAACTCGCTCAGTGAGAGAAACCCGTATTCACATGGATTTAACGAGGCACCGTGAACAGTCTGGTAGAGRCGACTCAGCTCCTCCACCTTCATGCCCTCGGCCACTTGCTGGTCCTCCTGGGACATGAGCAGAGCCAGCAGCTGGGAGGTCAGCAGCCGCAGAGACTTCCTGTTGATCAGCTGGACTTCCCAGCCCTCCAAGCCGTCCACCACCTTAACCAGAAAAAACAAAGTAAAGGCAGCGTTCTGTTTACGCCTGCATTTCAATTAGAATATGAAGCCCTGCAAACGTTTCAGACTTAAAGAGATCCCTGATTAGTTGTAACATTAGACTTTATTTGATAAACATATATTTTAACTGTAAAATAAAGATTGCTGTTTAGTTTTGTAAATTTTTAAAAATATATATTTTTACACGTGCGGAGCCATTTTATTTACATGCAAAGCATTCTGGGTAAATGATAACATGGATAGGTCCTCGGTGTGAGCGAGCTATATCCACCCTGAAGGTTAATCTTGGACAATATCTGATGATCGACTCTTTTAAATGAAACCAGAGAGCGTTGACAGAGAGGAGAAGGTAGAAATGACTCAGCCTGGAACTGAAAATATGGATGGAGGACAACAGAGCTGCTTCATGGAAGAACAACCTCAGATTAGCCTGTTAGCCTTTGTACTAGCGCCGACGCTATATTGCCTTATATGTATTAGCTTGGTGCTAGTGCAACAAACTAATAAGCTAAACTGAGGTCCTCCATCCATATTTTCAGTTGCAGACTGAGTCATTTTTGTGTTCCCCTCTGTGTCATGTGGATGGAGGACCTCAGTGACGAGAGAATGAGTAGCGCTGAGCTAATACATACATAATGGTAGCATCAGGGCTAGCGCAAAGGCTAACAGGCTAAGCTGAGGTTCTTCTTCCATGAAGCAGCTCTGTTGTCCTCCATCCATATTTTCAGTTCCAGGCTGAGTCATTTCTACCTTCTCCTCTCTGTCAACGCTCTCTGGTTTCATTTAAAAGAGTCGATCATCAGATATTGTCCAAGATTAACCTTCAGGGTGGATATAGCTCGCTAGCAGCCTCGCACCGTAGGTCCTATCCATGTCATCATTTACCCAGAATGCTTTGCCTGTAAATACAATGGCTCCGTCCGTGTAAAAAACTGAACAGCCTACAGTATTTTTACAGTCTTTATTTTACAGTTAAAATTTATGTTTATTAAATAAAGTCTAATGTTACAACTAATCAGGGATCCCTTTAAAGTTTAAAGAGGCAGGAAACAATTTCTGCAGCTGCAAACAAAAATACTGTCTTTTTAAGTGATAAGAGTGAAGGGAGTGCTAACATGCAACCATGCTGGTTATCCACCTGTCAGGGACAGGCCCAGCTGTCCCCTCACTGTGAGAGCTGCAGCAGAGGACTGAACGCTGACGACTTTTGCATAAACATAAAAGACTTGTTCAAGTTTCACAAGAAACYGTGTTGTTAACATATTTTAGCACCAGTTCCAACCTTTCAATCATAAAACCTCAATTTTTATGAGACATATTTTATATGACACGTTTAATTCATAATAAAATTGTGCAAGTACTCATGAGCATCTTTTCATCCTCTCTACCTTGACAACGTGGCAGAGTTTGGTCAGGAGGGCAGGCAGGGAGGCAGCGTCGTAGTCCTGCAGGCGCAGMCCGTAGCCGAAGGTCCTGCTGTACTCCACCAGCAGCTGGCTGACGGGAAGACTGAYATTCTTCTGGGAACGCAGCAGCTTGACGAGCTGGGCCGCCAGAGCTTTGACGCGCTCCACCTCAGTCAGAGTCAGAACTTTCTCCTCGCCGCATTCCAGTACCTGAGGAAGGACGGGAACGCCTCAGTGAAGATGTCCTAAGACTAGTTTGATAAAGCATTTCTAAGCTCTTTAATTAAAGCCTCAGGATAAAACAGAGTCAAGCGGCACGATGTTCAGATGATACTTAGGTTACTTATTTAGAGTTGGCAGGAAATACATTTGTCTGAATGTGTCAAGGCTATGATTATTGAAATGAGGATTAAGTAAATGAYATTTTCAGATTCCTGCTTTAAAAGCTACATTTTTATACCTGGATCATCCTGATGTCATAAGCAGATCCAGATATGACCTCATTTGTCTTGTTGGTTACAATAAAACATTAATATKTGGTCTGAATCCTAATTTTGTGTCATTTTAATGAGGAATTTTTGATGTCATTATAAAGATTATAAAGAGGAAAACTCAAATAGTATTTGAATATTGAGATATCCCAGCTGGAAAGAAACAAAACTTTGCTAGTTCACAGGGAAAATCTCAACATTTTAAAAAGGCATTTTTCCTCAAAATCAGGTTTTTTTTTTGTTGCTATACTAAAAAAATGCTTCAAAAACTTTTTAGGATTATATTTCAGACAGTTCATTCAAAAGATACATCGATGAGGCATTTATTTGTTATTTATTTGCAATTTTTGCAAATGTTTTAATCAAAACACTACATGTGCCTATTTCTCTTTTAGACTTAATTTTGGTTTCGATTTGATGGCTCACAAATATTCTTTGGGAGACCAAGTTTGCAACTCACCATCAGAATGTCAGGGATGGCCTCGAAGAGCTCCACCAGCTTGGTGAATCCGTAGTAGCTGAGTTTGCACTGACGACCAAAGTGGTGATGGTAGGAGGGTATGAACTTACTGAAGGGCATTCGACAGTGAGGCTGATGGCGGAGGAGGTCCACCACCTCCTTCCCAAACTGCTTGGTGTGCTCCACTTCCTCCACTGTGCGCTCTGGCAATCCCAACATTTATAGGTTTCAATAACCAGCAAGAGATTACACACATCAACAGCTTGAATTAATACTTTAAAAGTAATGTAACAACTAGCTGCAGCTTTAAACCCACCTCTTTTAGGAACAGAGATGACGGTGTCTGTGAGCTGCTGTGTGATGGTGATGGTGGTGTCTGGGATCTCCGTCAGCAGGTCCATCAGGTCACAAACGCCGTAATCAGTCACCTTCCAGTCTCTGGAGAAGCACCTGGTGGAAAACATTCAAGAACAAACATCCTTAAAGACAATTTACTCCAGCTATTTATGAAGAGATTCAGATCCACGGCTCAAAGACTGACCAGTGATACGCCTGCATGAATTCTTTAATCACTACTTGCTTGCTGGCTTGAAACTTGAGCAACTTAAGGAGGTCTTGGGTGAAGCGTTTCACCTGTGCTCTGTGGGTAAGGGTCAGCAAACGCTTYGTTCCCATGCCCAGTATCTGTTGGGCAGGAAAACGAAAGCAGAATATATAAAACACAAAGAACAAACGTTCAAATTAGACACAGTTATTACGAGTGSGGCTTCACGGACAACCTGCAGGACGTGTGGGACGGCCTCCAGAAGCTCCAGCAGCTTGGAGAAGCCGTAGTCAGAGACRCGGCACTGCTTGGCAAAGTAATGGTGATATGAAGGGATGAACTTGCTGATGGGCATGATGCAGTTCGGCTGGCTCTTTAACAAGTCAATAACTTCTCTGCTGAACTGGATGAGTTGTGGATTACCAACTGGACTCTTGCAGCGTTGAATCCAAGGCTCTGAAAAACACCAAGACTATATGAGATCAACATTGATGAAACAGATTTAGATTAAATTTAAATTTGTGATTAAGCACACCAGAGTTCTGTGAAGCTGGTTTGTTGTGGATCCACTTGATGACTTTAAAGCCGTTCTGAGCGGTGACAACAGAAATGCTGGGAATGCAGGTTATCAGATGCTCCAGAGAAACGGCACCCTCCAGTGTCTCATTTCCAACYGGCAAAGGGTTAAACTTTGCTGCATAGCAGTCTGGAAAACTAGAATGAAAATATAACAAGTTGCTCTTTTTACAACTGTTCTGAGGAAAAAAATTAAAAGTTTACAAATGCATTAGAGGCGGTTGTTACCTGAGTAGAGGAAGAGTGCCCTCGTGTGACTCCAACAGACTGTGGACCTCAGAGGTTAAACTGCTCAGTGATGTCACAACAAAGGGGATTTTATAAGAGTCGGGGTCAAAGTGAGCCTCGCTACAAGAAGAAAAGTCTCAAATCAATGACAGAAAGAAAACGTGTTGCATAATTTTAATGTCACTTATTACATTTTTTAGTTATCAGGGAATTATGATTTTATACTTATCGGTCCGATATCATAACAAACAGAAGTGATAATATATGTTCATGTTTGCCAGTGCGGCGGTGTTTATTTTTATTCTTAGTCAAGCCGCTTCCTGTCCGGCACGACCCGAGCAACGTTCAAATGGCGTCGGAAAAAARCAACTTTCTCACTAGAAAATAATTAGAATACTCCGTGCTGAAAAACAACCAGTCATTTTAATAATTGTTAATATGATTTTACCAATTAACCCTGTATGTTACACACAAACTTTATACTTATAAACATCGGAACAACTACTCCCAATTTGAGAACACGTAATGTCCGTTACCTCCTGAATGCAGCACAAAGTCCATCAGCTAAAATGCTAACAACAAGCTAGCATTCAAGAACTCATCAAGACATAAATCATTGCTGAGGCTTTTGACAAACCCAATAAAATTGCCAGGGAGGACGCAGATCTCAAACACTTTAATGAGGGAAAAGATGACAACCAGCTGTTCACCCTTGCTAAAGACCGAAGCTTTTATCTCCTTGTTAACCATGGTTTACCAGCTGAACAGCTCTGTGAATCTTCCTGTAAGTATGATGCAGTCATAATGCATTCACATACTCAGAAGCACTGTTTCAGGTAGAAAAATGTTTGAAATCATATATTAATAATAATAAAAACAATTATACTTTGAATCTAACTTGTGTTAGTGCATTATCTGTTTTGAACTTGTGGAATGACTTTTTCTCTTTTATTTAAATCTGAGATCAGTGTTTAAGGTCTTTTTTTTATAATTAACGTGCCTTATTTAAATAAATGGCCATTGGAGAAATTGTTTTATTTGATATACTTTAAGAAATGTTTGTTTGCTAAGAGTTTATTTCAAATAGTATAATTTACAGTGTCATTTGGTTTTGGTGTTTATTTATGTTATGATTTCACCCATTTTTGACTCGTCTTATCTTCTGGCATGTTATCGGTTATCAGCCGTTAGATGGAGAAAGTTATCGGTTATCAGATCTTAAAATAAGTTATCGTGCATCCCTGTTAATTTTTTTATACCTGAAGTTTTGCTGTGCGTAATGCTGTCGGCAGACAGGCTCATGGTACTCCAGCTCTTCGAACACAACAGGACTCCCACTCGCTGAGGAGGAGCCTTCCTGGGACTGAGAGGACCCGAGCGGGCTCTGGCGAATTTGGTTGCTGGTCAAGAGGCACGCGAGCCTGGAGCCCCCCTGTTCCCTCACTGAAAGCACATCTGGCAGCCTGTACAAATCGCTGATGGCAAGTTTACGGGCGTACCTGGATGAAGGGAAGAAAACAACTAAATTGTTTTTATAAGAGTTGAAATGTAAGAAGAAAAAAAACCATGAATTGAGACGAGCACTGACTTTTTCTCATAGATCTCAGTGAGCTTAAACAAAGGGAGGCAGTTTGCTGGTGCATCCTGAAGAATGCAGATGATCTCTGTGCTGTAGAAATATTGAAATTTAAAATATAAGCATTTATGTATTTTAAAATGACCCTTTAGGCAGTAATATACACCTGAGCATGGAAAGAGATTTGTTGTTTCCACCGGTGATCAGAGACGCCTGAATGCGTTTGCCTCCGATCTTGTAACGGTGTAAACCACTGACAGCGCTAATGGCTTCCTGCAGGAACAACATGTGAACTGTGGCCTTCAGCTGATAATCAGTGTGGGGGCTCAGCTCGACAGCTTTCACCTAGACAAAAAAGTTTATACAACAAAAAGGAGTTAATAGAGATTATTCCCTCATGGCAGTTACAAAAACACCAGCACCTGGTTYATTTGGACTCATCTATGCACAATCTGAATAATGAATTCCCAGGGTCAACCTTACCAGCCCGTATCGAGAGAAAGTGTCGTGCAGCGTCTGCTGCAGTTCTTTGCGAGACATTCTGTAGTCAAGGTTGGCCACCTGGATCTCTGCCCCATCTGAGAAAGGCTCAGAAGAGCCTWCAGGGCAAGAGCCACGAGGGGTGGCGAGCAGAGGTGAGGAACGGCTGGACAGACAGGGGGATCCACTCCTTTTAGTCGGAGGAAAGAGAGATTTTTAACAAACTTGTCATTTAAGTGTCTGTGACATCAAATTTTTTGTAATAAACATGAATGTATTTTTGGAAAGATAATATGGATAACATATTGTAAAACAAATTYCACGTTGCTCAGATGAATGTTGTTGAGATATTTGCATGTGAATAAACAGGAAGTGGTGTCAAAGGGGAATGTCTGCATGTAACAGAGCATTGTTACAAAAGTTAACAAAACAGACTGTAGAGAAAAATCTTGGATTTTTAGTCACTATCAAAGAGAGACAAAGAYGAGTTAAAGTTTAAACAATTTTGTTTTAATAAACAGTGAGTTTATTTTAATAACCAGTTCCCCTTTGATATCACTTCCTGTTTCACTTTGGCTGAGCCAAATTTAAAATATGCCAGTTATGAGACAAAATGGGTAAAATCATGTGTACGATGCCAATTTTTTTAAATATAAAGATGCTTTCTTTGACTTTTTGTATTTGAAGGACATGCATGTCACGGGCTCTTTAAATTGATTACAAGGTGATGAAGAACGTGTTTGTACCTGGAAGACCAGGAGCCCTGAGACATGATGAGAGGACTGAAGCTCATGTGCAGGTTTAGCTTGCTGAAGGCTGAGGGTGTGCTGATGTTGAACTCCCCTGAGCTCCTGTTCCTCTGCATGGCAGACAACGGGGTCACGCTCCGAGGACTGGAACCCTCTCTTTGACACAGAAAGATGAGGAGGCTTTTTTAGACCATCCTCATCATCACATTCAGTGAAATCTACAAACGCACATTAGGGTTGGGCAATATTGGCAAAAAAGTTAATCATGATTATTTGTGTTATTTAGCTGATAACGATTAATATGACAATTGATCCCCTGGATGACCTCATATTCTAGTCTCATGACCACCTTAAGTRGGAAAGAAAATTTCCRTAAATATCTGTTCCAAATTGTGTCCAAAGTACAGACTTCAGGCTATACATCATTTTTTAAATTGTGTTGATTGACCAAGTAAAGCTGGTTTTGATGAATAAAAAACAGAACTTTTTTTTTCAAATGTTCGTTAYATTGAAGCGTAGAGGAGCACCGAGCAGACTGACAGTCTGCCTGGTGGCATTAATCGCCAAGTGCCAGAAAATAATCCGATTAAAGTCTTTCTGATGATATGATTTTGCCCAACCCTACTGTACAWAAACTGCCAACAAAGTAGACACTTTAAGTTAGAGACAACTGTTTACCTCTTACTGTATATGGATTCTCCTCTGAGGCCAGGCTGAGGCAGCTGCTCCAGAGCGCCTCTTTCATTAACACTGTGAGGTGACGACGAAGCAGCCCGTCCTCTGTCCAGAGGGTGCAGGCCCATTCTGGACTTGGTTTCAACATGACCTGGCTTCTAAACAGCAAAAGGTGAGACAAAGTTACTTTTCCTGGACCCRGGTCATGTCTTCTCAAAGATGATGCAACAGGATGATTAGAAGAGATTAGTAAGATTTGTTAAGATGGTTGCGACAAATCAATGAGAAAAGTTTGGATCAAACTAGGAATGCACGTTCAAAATAATCTGAGATTAGAAATCTATTATTATATAATTAAGCCCGTTTAAATTCAGCAGCTGGAATAAATGTGTAAAATGTTTTGAACTTATTAAAATGCACCATTCCTAGTTTATCCAGTAAGTTTTCTCCCATCTTTAACATTGGATTTTTTAGTTGTAATTAGTCACAAAACAACAAGCCAAGTCAGCTGCCAATCACTGTGGGCTAATTTCCCACAATAAAACGAAGGGGATAAAACAGAACTAAAGTATTTATATGGCAGAAGTATGCAGTCAGACATAAAGTCAACAAAATACAGAAAATACTACGGCGATAACTGTATATGACCAGTGAACATGCAGACAAGTCTCATGCTAGCACAGGTAGACACATGAAGGCGAGCATGCAGTTCAAGCTGTTAGTTAAAGCAGCAATCATGACATGAGGCGAGCAGAAGCCACTACCATCCAGCCAGCCCAGACAACAACAGAGGGCAGAGGAGGTGGAGGGGAAGCAGGCACAGATGAGGCTGCTGACCTGATGGGGTTGGGCTGGAGCACCACCAGGAGGCCCACTGGACCCCCTCCTGGGGCTGCAGGGCTTCTCCGGCAAAGCGCCAGAGGTGGGGCATGGGCGTGAAGCTCGCCGTGGCCTTCTAGGYGACCTGGGGCTCTCCAGAGGCAAAAATGAGAAAGATGGCACGGGAGAGGGAAGGGTTTGAAAAGTCTGGGGTTTGGGTTGAGGCAAGGGGCGGGGTTGAGACTGTAGCTCAACKTCGGGACTTGCTTCGTTTCGGGGTCTTGGGGAGAAAGAGAGGCTGATTCGATGGCCAAACACATCCTCGTTTTCCATTCTCTTGCGGGCGCGTGCGGCCGCCGCGGGGCTGCCGAAGCGCAGGACCGCCATGCCCTGGGACATGCCGAGCACCTTGCCCCCGCAGTTGTCCGAGAGGCGACGGAGCCTGAGCTTCACAGATTTCCGCAGGCTCTTATCACAGATGGTGGGAAGGTTGTGCACATAGAGCAGGTTGAAACTGGGCTGAGGGAGGGGAGGAAGAAACATCGTGCCCGTAGGGTTTGGACTGTTACATTTTCAGAAAGATAAAATAAGAAACTGAAGCAATTTAGACTCAAGGAAAAAAGAARTCAAGTGCTTAAACAGTTTGACAGCAGGTTTTCAGACCCTTGTAAGTTTCTCCACAGTTCGTTAGATTTTAGATCTGTGTGATGAGAAATACATCCAAGGCATTATTTTGTGAAAATAAAATAAAAACATAGCTTAAAAATGCTAAAGAAAACAAACTTTAATGAATTTTTATTTTAATATACTGTATTTTAATCGTATGGTCTCCTTGAGTGCCACGAAAAGCATCTTCAGATAGAACATATTATTTATTATAAATAAAATTTAGAGCTTTTATATAGAGATGAGGCCTCCATCGACCAGCCTTTTCTCAACATGATGAGGCTGCAAAGACAGGAACCTTCTTTAGGTTGTTCCCACATGAATCAWTGAGGTTCTATTACAATGCATGCTTACACACAAGAACCAGCACTGCACAACTCGCAGCRTTGTTACAACGTGCTTGAAGTCTGTCACACTTGTCTCCTTGAATTGCCCCCAGCTTCACTAGTTTAGCTCTTTGTCTAATTCCGACAATTCAAAAGCCACAACAGCAAAGCTCACCAAACCAATTCAGCTAGTTTAATGACACAGAGGCAGGAAAAAGTGTCATGTTAAAGGGACTCATGATGGAAAAGCATCACTATTCTGACTTCCATAAGGTGTGTGAGGTAAAGAAAGAAAACTGTGCTTCACCTATTTAGAAGTAGATCTGCTGAAGTTAGGAAACAACCTAGAAAAGACAGACTGATGCAGAAAGTTTAGATTTTTTGATTAAAACTGATTCCAGAGGATTGGGAGTCTCAATGATAAAAGCTTGAGTTTAAACAAGAGAAAGGATCAGGTAAACTGCTGAGATAACACAGGAGGAGCTTTTGTAAGAGTCTTAACTTTGTATTTCTTTTGGACCTGATGGCAACAGAAACCATGTATGAAAACAACTTGGCACTGATGAGCTTTTCATTCTGAATGAGCTCAAAAAATTATTCTCAAAAAAAAAAGAGAAATGTGCCAAGCATGTAAGATCATTTCCAAGGAGGACTTCTGGCTGCCAGAAGAGTTTAACAAAGTATTAACTGAAGAGCCTCAATATCCTCGTTTAAATGTTTTTTTTTAAAAGAGGACATATCATACAAAATCCACGTTTTTAGCTGTTAAATGCATTTTGTTGTGGACTAGGAGACTCTAGGAGTGCAGAAAAGTTTAATTTAGTCTCTCCCGGTGCTCCAAAGATATCTTTATATTCTGTTTGGGTCCAGCTCATTCAGTTTTCTCTATTTTCTATGATGTTTTCCAAGTCTATTCTGCTAAATTATCTGCGATGGAACTGCTAAATAAGGTCTGGACTTGATAATTACAATTTCTTCGTCTTAACTCTCCTCTGGTTCTGGGTCAGACTCTGGTTCTGGGTCAGACTCTGGCTCAAACATGTAAGTCTGGACGGACAARTCTTATGTTGTTGACATCTTTTGATTAAGTTGTAAATAAAACATTTCTCCGAGCTAGAAAAATGTAACCCGCCTCACTCAAACCGGAGAGGACTGGTCTTGAAGCCGGAGGAGGGCGGGGCTTAAAGTGTCTTAAAAGAAACATAACAAAACCAGCTGCTTAACCAACCAAAGTTAAAACAAGGAGGAATAAAGACCCCAACTGAATGATTTAAATATGAAAAGGAAGGATTTAAAAGCAAGATATGTTACTATGTAACTTCACAAAGTTTTGCCATCATGAAGAGTTGTGTCTCAAATGATGGTGGTGGAATCACAAACTATCCTGAAACAAGAAAATGTGAAAAACTCAAAGGGTCTGAGAAATCTGACAGTACTGTAGCTTAGTAATGAACACAAACAAACCAAAACTGCCTCAGTTTGTGTTTTGAAGAGTTCACACTGAAATGAGCTCTCACTGAAAATTCTGGACAGTAACTACTTACCTTGAGTTTGTCACAGATTTAATTATTTTTTTAAAAAATTGACATTTAGACTCCAACACAACTTCTAAWATCCCTACCTGTGGTTTCACAAGCGTACGCTGTGGCAGGTCAGCTGTAATCTCTTGAAAGGCCACGTGACGGTGGGCGTGCTGCAGCAGAGCTGAAGACGTATGGCTGCCGTGGACAAGAATGATCTGGAACCCGTGGCGATGACGCAGGTCGCTCAGCTCGCTGGCAAAATTCACATCCGCTGGTAAAAATAAGAAATCACACTTTAAGGATATATCTGTTCCTGGCACCATTATTGATCTAAAAAACAAACAAAAAAAACTTACAGGACACTAACACAACAGTCGCAGGCGCAGTGTGGGTCTCAGCRAAGCGCCTCAAACTCTGACGAAGCTTGTCATCTGCAGCATTCTTGGCTGTGGCGTTAATATGTGCAACTGTAACCTGAAGAGAAGACACAAAGGTGTGTTTRGAACCATCCAACATATAAAGACTAGGGCTGAACGATTAAATGATTTGACTGGTCACATCACTTGGGAGTGAGCTGAGCAATGTTGCCAATTAGCAACATTGTCACTGGATCTAGTAGCTTGATTGATTTGTTGATTCTGTTTGTTGAAAAATACTTGAGAAGATGTTAAAAAAATAATCACAAATTTATAGATAAAAAAATTGCAATTAGATTATTTTCCAAAATGGTTCAGCCCTAATAAAGACCAGCTGAATGTAAAGAAAACACAGGTAATGCAGATACCTGGCAGTTGTTGAGCTCCTGGATGACTGCTTTGCTCTCCTTGCTGATGTCGCAGACACAAATAAATTCAGCTTCGCGGTGTCCCTGAAAGAATCTGGTGCGAATATGTTGGACCACGGCTTCAGCCGAGCGCCCACTGGGTACGCTGCAGTTTTCAATGTCCCAAAACACACCGACTGGTGGAATGTTCTCTGGACCACTGTTCTCTGAAGAACCTAACAAAAACCAGAACAACTTGTAGCACTGTAGCAGTATAAAGCGTATTAATGGATAGGTTTTTCTGACAGCAAATCCACAGACAAACGGTTTTTAATTCTAACCAACCATATTTATRGCCAGTTTTCCCAACTGTGGTGGATGGCATCAGCGCTATGTTACCAGAGGATGTGCCACAGCCATTACACATTGGGACAGGAGCTGCCTGAGGGATAGGAACATTGGACCACACTACAGASTCTGAAGAGAAATCAGTCTTGGGCTGCAAATTACAGAGGAAAACAACAAAAAGGAAGACAAATGAACATATGACTGATAGAAATATGAAGTCATAAAATGGCAAAACAAACACAAAATTACATGTTTTTWTACATAAATCTGATCATCAATCAATAAGTACATTTTTTTAATATCCACACACATGCAAATACTAAAAAAACACAAATTAAGTGAACCTGAACCAACCTTTAACAAGYACTTCTGACAGACGCATGCCCCTTTCCCAAAAACAGTGCGTTCAATATTTAGTTGCAAAGAATTAGAGCAGCAGTGTGCCGAGGTGGTTGAAGTAGTAACGGTTGTGGTGGTTGGGTGATCACCGGGTACGCTTCTCTGAGACCTTCTGAGTGACGGCTTGCAGTCCACACCACAAGTGTTACAATCAGAAGACCCCTGCAAGGGAGAGGGTGGGAAGGAGACAGAGGAAGCCAGGGGTGCAGGAGAGGGAAATGTGCCAGGCTGACTGCATGACGGAGGCACAGCTGAGCAGCTGTGGCCAAGCCCCGYGCAGCAGGGGAAGTAGGGGTGTGATGAAAGCGGCTGACAGGTAGCAACAGAAGAGGGCRGCTGAGGTTTGAAACCAAGACTGAGTAAAGAATCAGTCGCTTTGGTTCCATTACCACAGCTCAGGTTATGGTTGTACTGATAAACAGATGAGGCTACAGAACATGACTCAAACCTGCTACTATTGCTGCTAGTGACAGGCCCTCCTGAACAACTTGGGGCTGTGTGAAAGGTACCAACGCTGCTGCTACCCCTGCTACCCAACAAKCCATAGCCATCTGTGCTGCAGTAGTCACAGTGGGAGCAAATGCTTACTTTAGGGCTAAGCCCCTCTTGTTGCTGCATTGGTAGGGGCTGTTTTTGGTGGGAATCTTGTTCAAGATGAGGAGGTGGCAGCAAGCAGGGAGGAGGCAAAGAGCGAGGTGCCAGAGGAAAGGATTGGGATAACTGGGAGGGGGGAGAGTGGTGCGGAGGAGGAGGGACATCCTTCAGTTCCACAACAGCCTCTCTGTTGTCCATGTGGTTATTCTAAAATATAAGAAACARAAAAACAAAATTTAAAAAATGTGCCCAGATTTGGTAAAAACAAACACTCCAGTTTTCAGCCGTCTGTCAGACAAACAAATAAACAAACAAAGTTTTGTCATGGGTGGAAGAAGTATCTAGCAAAGTTGTGCAGTGTCTCCTGTTGAAATCTACATCAGTCTTGTTTCCCCAGCCATGCAGTTGTTAAAACTTTACCATAATACTCCCTGTATACACATTTCTACACCAATCTACCTTTCTCTTACAGAGTTACATTGACGTGTAGAAAAGAGAACYTACGTCTTTGTTTGACAGATGTGGGAAAGTCGTCTCATTTGAGGCAAAGCAGTCTTTTAGCTTCCATAGCAGGCTGGAGGTTTCCGTTTTGGGGTGAATGAGCCATGGAATGGGTCTAGAGCCACATTTGGTTTTCTCCTTTCCCAACCCTTCCATCATAGGAACGCCAGGGGCCTTTCACCATACTTCATCTCTCTTCTCTCTCATGCTTTTTTCCCCCCAGAGTAAACAAAACAGAAACGTTTGCACTGAGTTCACGGTTAAACAGGACACTGATTACAGYTGGTGACTAATTCATGATAACACAGCCTGGGGTTAAAGTGCCTTAGTTGGTTTCGTAACAACAGTCTCTTGTAAGTTTCTGTTTCCTAGTCAGTGATGAAAAACACAGATAAAGTTGAGTTAGCTACAAGCTAGCTAAGATTGTACTCGTTATACAGGGTCAACATTTATAAACACACGTGTTATTTGAGTTAACTAGTAGGGCTAGTCAACTTTAAAACAGACTGAATTAACATTTGGATAAACTTAAYGTAACTCTAGCTAGTTTAAGCTAGAAGATCCGGTCTCTTTGTTTATCCTAATATACAGAGCTGATCTTCCAACCACCTACTGTACTGCTTTTTACCGTAAACTGAAAAAAAGGGGTAAATACACTACTTCACAAGCTAATTTTCTACCTGCGATCGAATCGTATCGTCTTTCTCACATCTTCTCGCCTTTGTTTCCGTCTACCCCGAAACGCGCATCTTTTTGTAATGGACTCTGCCAAAAAGCGGAACCAGCTGTCGTAAATCGTGTTGTTTTTGTTGTGATTGTCGCGACACGATTCTGCGACATGTTTTTCCGCTGCGGTTTTGCCTTTTTGCATAAACACCATGCCCCACTTTTTAAAATTAAATGGAAGTATGTTAAAATMTCTATAGAGTTTGACAAAACAATAACTTAAACTTTTTTTCGCCTATTTTTGGATGTTTGAATRTGCCTCACTAACATGTGGACCACCGTGTCATCAGCGCCCTCTAGCGTCCGTCAGCGGAGCAGCACCCACACCAAGTCTGGGTTCACTAACGGGACAGCAGGTTCGTCCATCAGCTGTTGTTGTGAGGGAGGTGTTGGGTGAACAATAGATTTATTCTGGGTTTTAAGCAGTGTTTTATTAATTTTTTCTCCCCTTCGGATGTTTCCTCTGAGAACCTCAGACGGAATTCGGGGTTGACTAATTAACAAAAGGCGACACCTTGACCATTAATTAGACTTATTTTTTATTGTCCGTGATGGCGATCGCCTCCGTAGCCACAGAGTACGTCTTCTCGGACTTTTTATTAAAGGATGCCACGGAGGCCAAGTACAAAGGAGTCCGTCTGGATTTGGCTTTGGACAAAATAGTCACGTTTCTAGCGGTGGGGCTGCCTTTGTTTCTCATCTCACTCGCTTTTGCTCAAGAGGTGTCTGTAGGTGAGTTGTTTTAGTTGTGGGGAAATAATTAATCGGACACCAGGAAAAAAAAAACAGGTGTAGGAAGGTGTGGTTTTATTCTCCACCCCACGCCCGACAGACGCAGTACTGCTGCAGCTGCTRCTGCTATTACACAGGGTCAGTCAATAGGTTTTATATCATATAAACTTTTTTTTGCAAAATATCTKGAAATATGCTAACAAACGTGGAATACTTCAGGACTGATTTCATTTTGATCACACAAACTTGTCCATTAGCAGGTTGACTAATCTGTATAATCCATGAGTCATGATCAGYGTGGTGCAGAAGACAAACCAGTGCTGACATATTCCATTAACATYCATTATTCTGAGGAATCTGTGTTGTGGTCAAGAACATTCATTTCTTTTGAGTGCAGTGAAAAATCCACAAATGACAAAATAATCGATTTGTTCTTCAAAYAGGTTTATCTGTCAAATAATAGGCATTTTGCATGGCAAACATTGTGGAAATAAGCAGTTTTATTTGTGTTTTGCAAGATTTATTTGYATAAAAGTTAGATCCATTCATCAATGGTGCAGAAAGTTTAGAACTGCATGAATAAATCTGATTTTTTTGTTTAAAATAGTAACAAAAACAATGTATTAGTGTTGTACATCATCTATTTATAAAGGATTAAATATAAGTTTATGTAAATATTAGTCTATGAGTTATTGCTTTAGCCCGAAAAAGGTTAATAAACTGAGTATGCATAAATTAGAAAAATAAAAATGTGAAAAATAACAAGTATTATTGCTATTTGTATGACATCAGCTACTACCACACCAGATTTTAGCCCAACATCTGTAAAACTGAGTTAAAGCCCTTTTTGTTTTAGCAATTGATGATTAGCTTTAGTGACCATCTTGAATTTGATTGGCTCCCGAAGATAATTAGTTGTAAATGTAAATCTCTTAACATAAAGTGTACTTGAAGTTCATTTTAATAAGTATACTTGAGTATAAGTTTAAGTATATCAAGTATACTAGGCACAATGTACTTGTAGTTTACTTGAAAGTATACAAATTTAATACTTGTTTGTACTAAATTGGGACTTTTAAAATTTTTACTATACTATTATAATGTCTTTTTAAGTTTATAAATTTACCAACAAGAAGTATACTTTAAGTACATGTCATTAAGTATACTAAAGTATATAAAAGTGTATTTCTCTAAGTGTTCTTTTATTTACCGTGTACACTGATATAAGTATACTAGCAGTTTACTAACAAGTATACATTTAGGATTTTGGCCCACAATAAGTTTATGAAAGTATACTTAGTATATTGAAAGTAAACTTCTAAGTATACTTTTAGTTTAATCTTGAAATATACTACAAATAAACCAGTCTGTGTGAAAAATGTACTACTAAAGTTTATCTTGGCCAAAGGTTTAAACATTAGAATACGAAAGTATACTTAAACTTTCAGTATACTTAGTACAAGCTAGGTACAATGTAAGATAAACTTGGTTATGTATATTTCAAATAAGTACATAAAAAGTAAACTGGAAGTATACTCTTATTTTTATTATTTTGTTTAAAATTAGTATGCCTGCATACTACTTTTTACTAAGGGATCCAATGATTTTTATTTGAAAGTTTAAATAAAATTTGTCAAGAGATGTTTTGCTAACAGATAAAAACATCATACATCTTCGTCTTTCAGCAGCAGGTGATAACTTATTGTGAGCAGACTCAGCTTGTGTTTGTATGCTCATGGACTTGCAAACATGTAAATCTGATATCCACGGTCTGAGTATTTGGGTCATGCTGACCACCCAACGTAGGGGAACCAATTATCGACACAAAGTCTGCTTCAGTCCACTCACAAACAATTCGGGTCAAAAGGGAGGGATGACGAACCCTCCTGGGAACGTCTGCCAGCTCTGACTCTTTCTTTTCTTTTCCCAGGGACACAGATCAGCTGCTTTGCTCCTGCTAACTTTTCCTGGAAACAAGCTGCTTACGTGGACTCCTTCTGCTGGGCAGCAGTGCAGCAACAGGCGGGCAGCTCACAGTTATGGCTACATAAGGTACACAAAGCCTTAAAGGAAATTATAGGTTAATAAGGATGATTGAGAACACAGAAAACACCCATGTTTCTAATTAGTCTAAATATTTAAACAGCAGTCACTGTTGCTCCACACGAGGTTTATTATGTATCGCAATAATTCTCAAACGTAACACTCTTACAAGAGGTCRTAAATATTCATCTCTCTTGATAATCTCTTTGGTTTGTTGCCTTACAATTTGAATTAATCAAAAATGAATTCTCAAATACTCCAGATTAATGGAGGTAAATGAAAACAAACAGAATAAACATGTTTTAAATCATTTTAAACTTCAATTTAAATACTTCGAAGTAGAAACAAAACAGAGGAAGTAATAATTGTGTTTGTTAAAGTTTTCATATTGATCCATGACAAGATCCAACRTGTTTTTTCTGTAAAGCTAATAAATTATTTTTTAAAAATCAGTGCTTTTAATCATATTTGACACATTTTTCTAATTTGTTTGCGTTTCTTTCTGACCTCCCCAGTTCTTTCCGTACATCCTGCTCTCACTGGCCATCCTCATGTACATCCCCGCCCTGATCTGGCGTTTCACAGCAGCTCCACACCTCTCGTCTGACCTCAGCTTCATCATGGAGGAGCTGGACCGCTTTTATAACCGTGCCATCAAACTGGCCAAAAATCTGGCTTCACTAGACAGCAAAGCTGCAACCCCGGAAGACCAGAGGTGAGCATTTAAAAAATGAGTGTTCAGAGTTTTCTTTTTCTTTTTGTGAACCTACCGGCTCTTCTGCTGCAGTGCTTTGGAGGTGACCGAGAGCTGCTTTAAATACCTGCTTGTGGAACAGTATTTAAAGACCAAGCGCTCCTCTCACAGCCTGGTGGTGAAATACGTGGTCTGTCGGGTCCTGACTCTGGTGATCCTCCTGCTGGCATGCCTCTACTTGGGCTACTACATCCTGCAGGCRTCTCTCACCGATGAGTTTCCCTGTGACCTGCGGACCGGAGTTCTGAAGAACGACAGCGCGGTGCCGTCGGCCGTCCAGTGCAAGCTGGTGGCGGTGGGCGTCTTYAGGCTGCTCAGCTACATCAACCTGGGCGTGTACGTGCTGCTCGTCCCGTTGGTGGTGTACGCGGCTTTCGGGCCAGCTCGGCAGAGCTCCAGCTTCCTCCGGCCGTAYGAGATGCTGCCTGGATTTGGTGCTTTGGGTGTGATCAGACCCGTCTACAACGACCTCAGCGTCTATCTCATGTTCCTGCAGGAGAACCTGAGTGAACTCAAGTCTTTTAAGTGTCTGCAGGTGAGGCTCTGCAGGTCCCATGTAGCTTTTTATTTAGCACAWTAAGTAATGATATTTGTGTTTGGTAGATTATATCTGTTGTAATGATGCTTTTTGGTATTAAATCTTATTGGCAGCTCCTGGTGGTACAAGAAGTTCAAAACAAGTGTCAATAGTGACAGCAAAACCATCTGTTCAGCTATTTTTATTAGGCATTTTAATGTGTAACCCACAAAGGCATGTTCCTTACAAATGTGGCATCAATTTAAAGGGAAATTAACAGCATAAGACAGTTACTGCAGGCCAACAGCTCAGGGGCTGAACATCTAATTAAAGTCATTATATAAATAAACCAAGTATTACAAAGATTTGTTACCTTTAAAACGGTTGATTTTGCTGCATTTTATCATAAATACAACATACTAACTATCTAATAAAAGTAGTGATAATAAAACAATATCAAAAACAAAAGTAAAAATAACACATTATGCTTCCTATTTAATACAAATATTATTTTGACATCTCTCACTTGCCAAATTTTTAAACCAGCTTTATTTTCACTGCTTGTGGTTTTAAAGTGCCTGTGACATGCATATCTATAAAATACAAAAAGTCAAAGAAAATATATTTATATTTAAGAAACTCAGCATAATACACATGATTTTACCCACTTTACATAATTGGCATATTTTCTTTTGAACTTAGCTCAGATAACGTGAAACAGGAAGTGACGTCAAAGAGGAACTCTTTGAGAAATAAAACTAGCTGGTTTTTGTTTATTGAAACATTATTATTTGAACTATGACTCTCTCATCTCTCTACGACAGTGATTAAAATAATCTAAAGTAACATCAGATTATTSTCTGCGGTCTGTGTTGTCGGCCTTTGTAGCAATGCTCTGTTCACCAGCAGACATTCCCCTTTGACATCACTTCCTGTTAGGGTTGGGCAATGTTGGCTAAAAAAATGAATCACGATTAATTGTGGTATTTAGCCGATAACGATTAATTTGACGATTAATCCCCTGGAGTCCCTGGACACTCTTATTTCGTAGTCATATGACCAATTTAGTGGAAAAGATTTGCTCTTCATACAAATCTGTTCCAAATTGTGTCAAAATTACAGACTTCAGGCTATATATATAATTTTAAATTGAGTTGCTAGATAAATAAATTACAGAACTTTTTTTAATGTTCATCATATTTGAAGCAGAGAGGAGCAGAGAATGGATTCTGCCTGCTGGCATTAATCGTATTAATCGTTAAGTGCCAAAAAGTAATCGATTAATGTTTTTCTGATGATTAATTGCACACGATACAATTATGCCCAACCCTACTTCCTGTTACTTCACAGGCCAATAGCTCAACAACTGTTCAGTTCAGAGGCGTGAAATCTTTTTTTACAATATGTTATCAGTGTTATCTTTCCAAAGATACATTCATATTTATTACAAAAATTTGATGTCACAGACACTTTAAGTGTTTTGGGTTTTCATAGAAATATATTTTACCAGCTTCTAGTGAAGATTCTGATGTTTCTCTAGATATCAAACATGTCTAACTAAAAAAAACTTATAGTAATTAAAGTAGAAAACCTGGGGTTTGGGCTCAAGAGATGAATGGACCAATTGGCGGGCCGAATTTTGGTCACTCGCAGGTCGGATCTGGCCCATGGGCCGCAAGTTGAATAGCCCTGGTGTAAGATTGATTGCCCAAAACRAGCATTGTGAAAAAAAATCTACCAAACACAAATTTCCTTACTTTCTGTGCTCAGTTTATGTCTATAAACAGTTGATATTTCTTGTTAACAGGTTCTGGAGTTGCTGCAGCAGRCTGGCGATGAGGGCTTTGACACCATGTGCCTGCTGCAAACCCTGGGCCAGGTGAAGACCGACGTGTTAGATAGTCAGAAGATGCACACAAACAATGAAGAAATAAAGAAACCCAAAGAATAAACTAGCTGAAGTACGGAGCAATCGTTAACCCTTTTAGAGATGATCTGTTGTTTATATACATGAGGAAATGAATGAGAAACTATATCTTCTGCTTCTGTTTTCTTTCAKATCACACTGAAATGTTTCTGAGCAATTCAGGTGACGACGATGATAAACCCTGCTCAGATGGAAGAGAACAGTAAAGAGAAACTGTGCACTTATTTTATCTGAGATGCTGGATGTTTATAGATTCACAACACTGTAACTCCAATGAGAATGAGTGTTGTTTTTTTATTTGTATTATTTATAATGTTTTACAATTTCAAGATCAWTTAGGTGTTCTGTAGCTACCAATCTTGTTTGTATGAAAATAGTTTCCAATGATTCTCTTGTTTTTATTTTATAGTACACACTACTTTTATATGATTTAAATGGTCATTTGATCAAAGTCGTGTTGTTTCTACTGAAAGCAGAAYATTAAATAGCCTGCATCATACCTCCAACGATAAAACAGTTTAAAATAAATGGTAGAAGTGTTTTTGTTTCTTAGCTATAAAATGTGAGGAAAAATGGTTTCAACATATGAAACGCTGCTGGTTAAAGGGGATTTTCTGTGTGCGGTTTTCATAATTTCTCAAAGCCTCAAATATTTCATAAAGTCTAAAGACATACATGAGCATGGTCATACTAAATTGGCTCTATGCATGAACATTTTCTRTATTGTTTGTTGAAATTGATTGGGGAAAGATCTGATCAGCTTTTGCAATGTTAAAGAGATTTGTGCTTTTATGTGTACAAATAAGAGCAGCCATAAATTGCATATGTGTGTTCTTGGGTAGCTATGATGAAAGGATGACTATTTCTTTACTAACCTTACAGCCATGTAAAAATGTTTTAAAATTACTTTATATATAGTAATGAAAACTAATAACTAATAAAGTTACAATATATTGAACATAAATTGTATCAAATGGTGCAGTTTTCTCCTGTATTTTTCCAGATATATTGACATGCAATGCTGAAATGCAGGTACGCACTCAAGGTAAACAAAACATTTTTATCTGCATACTTAACTCTATGAATCTGTGCATAAATACAAACAAATACATAAAAAATAGTCAAACTTCTTGATCCCAAACAACTCTTCAATGAATCCCACACATCATTTGAAAAAATTTGTAAAACCCCTGCGTTGGTCAGGGATGACATCACAATAATTTCTTGGAATCCCCAAAGTCCCAGAAGTCAAACAAATGACTGACGATGTCCAGCAACTGCATTGAATTGAAAAGGATAAGTGTTTTCTTCATTGTTTTCTGGCTTTAGCTGTTAGCAAGTGTCGAGATCAGGATTTGCATCTTTGGCTGACCTTTGATCTCGCCAAGTTTGTTTGTCTGAAAACAGCTAAACTGAGAAAATTGCACTGGAAGTTAAAAGTAGTTTTAAGTGAATTTATTACACACCAGATAGAGACAAGACAACCACAACAATTTATAAGAGCTCTTAAAGAAACGGCAGGACAATCACAGAGTAGTTAGCCCTGATGCTATCACCATATATATGTATTAGCTCAGCGCTACACATTCTCCTCTCATCACTGAGGTCCTCCACGACAGAGA